ATCATATTTTCGCAAATTTCTTCAAAGAACGATAACTCTTCACGCTTGGGCTTTTTTACATTTGAAAAAGCAACATTTCTTTAATAATATACACACATGTATCTATTTTAAGAAGGATTTTGGCTCTAAAAATAAATATAAGAACTTAAAAAAAAAAATCATATAAAGCATTCTGGAGTTATAATCTTTATTAAAGCTTTGTCTTTTTTCATCATAGTGTTAAATTATTTATTTTTGCCATAGGGTTTCAACAACGTTGATCGATGGCGTAACAACTGCATCAAAACAAAAATTAATAGAATGTGACGACGGCGCAGCTTGTATCCAGAAAACTGTGTTTAAAAGGCAAATTCTTTATAAATTGTTTGTGATTTATTAGAGAAAAGGTACAATGATCAGGTACATGTATACTGATTTGATAGCTGTGAGTTTTTATTTACCGAAAACAACAAACTGCAACCTTATGTAAGCCAGGATTTTCTCTGATATTCTTAACAACATCAAAGAATGCAAATATAAGTAATAAACAACGATTATTCCGTGAACATGGCATTATGAATAGCAAAACCTCTGCTGGCATAGTTACCATGATTCGCTAGCGCGCATCATTGAATATGCCAGCAGAGCTATTCACAACGCTATATTCACTGAATAACGCTGCCTATTTCTTAAATGTTTCCATCGATTAAGTGTTCCCGAATCTCTATAAATGAACTTGCCAATTACTAATTCATTTTTTTATTTGCAGAAATTTTAGAATTTAAGAAGTAAGCCACAGAGATAAACACTGATAAACAAAATCCTGAAAAATCATGTCGTGTGCATTTACATTCGTCGACTAAATAGTATTACGTGTATTTATGTAAATACAGTGTATTGAGACACGTTTTTTTATTTGTAAAAATATCTATTTTGGATGAATTTCAAAATTTTAAAAATATCCTGACCACAAATACCAGTAATGAAGAATGCTTGTTTAACAAATAACGTTCCGTTAAAAACTTACAAACGACATTTCTAAACGCACGATCACGCACAATTAAAACGGCAAACGGTTGGGTCTGATGCACGCACGATCTCGCACGTTACGATACACAGACGATTCTACACGATTGGTTTTTAACAGTTAACAACCTCAAATCAATCTTAGATATCGATTTCAAGAAATTGTCTATCTCTAAAGTTCACGTCATATAGCTTACTATGACATCATATCATATGTACAAGTAGAATACCGTAGTTGGATGTAACCTTAACACACCTGCTTATATTTTATAACATTTACATTGTAACTATGAATTGATATCTATTGCATTCAAAACACCATAACACAGACAGGGTGCCAAGAGGTTAAAACATGCGTTTAAGTTTGACGTCATAATCGAGGAAGTGCAACGTCACAAGCGAAAAAAAAATCACGTTCAAATTGACCAGAAGCTGTTACGTTGGCTGATCCATTAAATGTAGCTTTCATGAAGGATAATACATAGGTTTTTAAATAGAAATCACATCTGCAGTTAAGGTAGACAGTTTGAAAATGTAAATAAAAGCAATGAAGCATTGAGTGATAATAGTTTTAGTTTCATAACTGCAACGGTGTGTGCAAACAAATTGAATAACGCGCGTTATTTGAGTGATATAGTTTTATAACGCGCGTTATTCAATTTTCAATTCACACTGTTGCAGTTATGAAACTATATCACTCAAACATTAATGATTTATCGCTTAATTGTTTTTGCATTGTGGAAACCATACTTGAAATTTCTGTCAAGTTTCAGGAAGGTTTCCATATATTATGTGGAAACTGGAATTTGTATCCGTGGGCCACGAAATTCACAATTTTGAAAGAGACAGTCTTTTCAACTTAACTATGCACTTGCCTAGGTATTTAATGCCCAGCAGCAGAAAAGAAGAATTTCAAAGAAATAATGAATTTTTGATACATAATCTATTAACAGAGTACATGAAGCCCCACCCTAGCACTAAAACCCCTGGCGCTGGGGACATGAATTTCTACATTTTTGGTGAGGACTCAATGCTGATTACAATCATGTTAACAGTTTGACTGCTCGATGTCTAGGGGAAGGAAAGAAGAAGATTTTTAAAGACAAAATGCTCAAATGTTAACGCACAGCGCACGACGAACGAAAACGGATACCAATTGTCAGGTGACCTCATAAAACTAAAAAAAAACTTAAACAGCAATACGATTTTGAATTCGCGCTGATAACAGGAGTGTAATTGCTTGCTGAGCATAAAGTTAACCATTTAAATCTGGGAAAGATCATAAAAATGTGTCGTAGAGCTACGTATGATTACAGATTTATTAGTGAGACTCATTTGCCTTGTGCAGATTTTATAAGTCTCTATTTTTTATAACATTTAACTGCGACAGAGAGCGGAAGCCAGCAATTCAAAATGAACGCAGAATTAAATAAATTAAAAAGAACAGACTTCAGCAAGTCTAGATGTCAATTTATCTATCGTGAACTTTTCCAGGTTTTGTGAATATATCCCGATATTACCTGCGTATGGTGTTTATATCTCTCAGTGTTTTCAATTGCCATGAACACACTCCAATTACGACCGACTATTTAAAAAAAGTCAGTTAAATATTGTTTTCGTATTGCAGAAACCATACTTAAAACTTTAACGTCAAGTTTCAGCACGGTTTCCATACAGTTTCAGTTTTGCGGAAAATGAACTTTTCATTCAGTGTTATGCATGAATTTTAAATGATTTTGTTAGAAAATGTAACATATAATTGGACCATAATTTGACTTACTTTTTTCATTCCAATTGTTATACTAAATTTGATTTGGAATACTCCTTCCTGGTCGGCCTTATGTTTTACATTGCACGTAGTTTAAAAGTTAAAGTCTCTGATTTTAAGACTCATGATAACCAAATAACACGATTTTCATAACCTTTGAAAATGTAAGTTTGCAGGCTACGTGCGGACATGATCTTTTGATTGAATATGTAAATTGTTTTTTTTTTTTGATAGAAATATCACTTAAAAGAATGTTTTATTTTTCTAGCATATAATGAGAGGAAAAAAGTCCTCAGGATATGTCACTCGTCAGCTTTAGTGGTATTTGTGATTAAACTTCAATCAAAATGCATCAATTAAAACGTGAACTTAAAGATTGCTTATTAAGATACATGTATTATATGTATACAAGAATGGAATTCCTAATTTAAATCGCACTCAGATAAAAAGCTAAGTTGCTATAGCACTTTTAAACAAAATTGTGGCCAAGAAAAGTATCTTAATTTACTGAAGAATTTTGAGCAAAGGAGAAGCTTTCGTTTTCGCATATCACCTCACAGATTTAATATTGAAAGGGGTCGATATATATGCATTCCTAGAAAGATACTGCAAAAGATGCAATAACAAAACGATTGATGACGAGAAACATTTTCTCCTTTCACGTGATCATATCAAGGATGGAAGAAAAGTCTTGCATGAATTCATTAACAATTCCTGTAAAAATTTTCGCAACTTGAACAGTGATAATAAGTTAAATTCTCTTATGACCATTAAGGATGTGCAAATACTAATTCAAGTCAGTAAAATAATTATGAGAGCTACAGTATGAAAAGTATTAGTAAATCTCTCTTTTGGTAAAGTACTTAATTTTTGTAAATTAGATATTACCTAAATGATTTTTTTTTAATTTTTATACACTTTTTAATTTAATTTAATAAATATTTTTTGCCGTATAATTTGGACAGTTATGATTTTTTATTGTAAAACTGTCACACGCACACCCTAACACACACACACACCCTCACACACACACACACACAGAGAGAGAGAGAGAGAGAGAGAGAGAGAGAGAGAGAGAGAGAGAGCATGGTGAAACATCTAAATATTGAATAAAAATATATTTGCACTAAACAATTTCATATATATGTAATATTTGATTTTGTACAACATCAATATGCATGTGAGAATATGAAATAACATGATATATTGCAGCTATTCTTTTATCTGTGCTTCCCTTGAATATTAGATTAAAAATGTAATATAAAAAAGGAAACACCACAACTGATCATAACAATCCATAAAAGCGTAACGGTGGTGTACAGCTACCACCAATCGCATCATCTCGAGTCTTTCCGTCAGAGGTCGGAAAAACAACCTTGAATGTATTAACATCACCGGATGTTAAAAATTTTTATTACACACTTAGTAATAAATACAGGTTTTTTGCATATGCGATATGGCTGACGTCACAGTAGCCGTATCAACCCTGCAGGGCTGATATGGATTTGCGGGGCTGATATCCGTATCAGCCCTTCAAATCCATATCAGCCCTGCAGGGCTGATACGGCTATTGTGACGTCAATATCACACCCTTAGTAAATTAAACCACAATAACAGTACTTGTGATCATACAAAATTTTTGGTGGGTTCGTATTCTCTTAATTTTAACTTTTTGAAAATAAGGTTAATCTTAATTTACAAATACATGTAATACTATAGAATATTTTCAAATTACGGATCAAGTGCATTGAAATAGAAGTAGAAACAAACCCAAATCGTATGAGACATTAGACTATGTACATGTATGTAAGAAGTCCATGCATGATTATTTACTTATTTTCTTCTCAACTGAATGTGTTCTGTATTTTATTACTAAGTATGTAATAAATATAATAAAACATACCCTTTTCCACATCACATCCTGTATCAGCCCTCGACCAATATCAGCCCTCGGGCCTTCGGCCCTCTGGCTGATATTGGTGTCTCGGGCTGATACAGGATGTGATATGGAAAAGGGTATGTATTATTCTCTATATACATCTTCCTGTTTACTTAAATATAATGTAGACGGATATAGAAATTCCTTCTGTGGTATATTTTAGGTAATATCATTACATTGAATAAAGTTGAACTCCATATTCCACAGATGAAAGTTCTCCATGCATTTATTTCAAAGATTGTGAAAAGGGGGATTTGTAATGGCGTTTTCCTAGTACATTCGAGGTCGTTTTTCCACTAGTCGGAAAAGCCCGAGAAGTTGCGATTGCAGCTACCACGAAAGAAGAACATGAAATGAAATATCTTTTTATAACTTTATTCAGACGACATTTTGGTCTTCATATCTTCAATCACAATCCACCAGTGTGCACGGTGCAGATCTAAGAATTCTGCCTTTATTCGATTGCATCTCCTTTAGTGGAAATTCATCATTGCGTGCGCAGTTTTGGTTGATCTGTCAGTACATGTACTTCCGTGCGTGGATGTTATTGCGCATTGAACAGTTCCAGTATGTCATCCGAGGATAAAAGAGCACGTGAGTATTACTGTCTGCATATTTAATTTTCAGTATTGCACAAACGTATTGTTGTATTTTAAATCTGTTTGTGTTATCAGTTATATCATTTTTCTGCATGGTTTATTAAGAGCCTTGTACTTAAAACACAAACTTTCAAGTGAATGAATTTTGCAACTCAACTGTACGAAGGTTGTCCAAAAAAGTCGTAGACAGGGAAAACAGTTTAGTTTCTCTTTGCTGTATTATATTTTTTTTCCCTTGTCATAGCAAAAAGTGACATTTTAGGATCATGCATTTCAAGTTTCATGATGATATCACATTTAATATGAAAATTATGAAAAATAAAGAATGCTTGTAAGTGTACATCGGCGCACGAAAACAACCGTTATTGACGTCTCTTATAACGTCATGATCTCTTTTTCTGCTTTACACGCGCCTGTTAACATATTCAATAATTTTCTTCGAAGTAAAAGGCCACTCTTGACTGGGGAACTTATTTAAATCACAGTCAGTTTTTAAAAAGCAGATTCAAATTTCAGTCGAAATCGTCCTACTTTGTAGACAGTAAAGACTGCTCGCTATACACATTGTTTGACGTCGTTCGTGACCCAGATTGTTCTCCATCGTCTGCGGTTAAGAAAAAGTACTTCACTTCTTACATGCTGTAACTACTTCCGGTATAGAGGAAAAACTCTCATTGTATCTAATGCTATTAAACAATAACTTTATAAAAATTTAGTGTGCAATGCCACTTCTGTAATCTGAACCCATTTTCCTGTCTTTGATGTATATAAACCATATCCAAAACAATTTATCACATCTCCGTGCGCCGGTTACGCATTTGACGACGTCATTTTCATCAAACTCAATTCGGACAACACTTTAGAAATCATGACACCAATTCAATCGTCTGTATTTAACCCCCTTCCCCGCAGTCACGCATTTTAACGCATATACCATTTCCTATTTCCAACGCAAAATCAAGCATATACCTTTTCCCCGCAATCACGCATTTTCACACACTTTAAAAAATTCATTTAATCTTTACTTTAATGCCTATTTCCTTTTCTTTTATACTTGCAAAAATTTCATCAAATAAGAAAAGTAATTTTTGTATTGAAATATAATCTCATAATATTATTTACGCTTAACTTTAGAGAAACGTGTACCACGCTTAAAGGAGCTTGCGGGGAAACGGTTAATTTCTATTTAAATAACGTGAACATTTAGTGTATGTTGCATAACAGTACAGTAAGTTGTAAAGAGTTAATGCTATTTACATTATGCAGCACAGTTAAGGTTACAAATGGGAATATCGGCGATTTTTTAAAAACGAAAAGTACATACTAGGATGGGCGATTCTTTTTAGGACTTTATTAATATAAAAAAAATGTAATGTGGTCTACATGTTGGGGACATTTAGATTTTTTAATTGGACTTGTCACGTGATGTCGACGTCACATGATTTTAGCAATTACGCCTGCGGTTTAATAGTCATCTATGAATTCCATTGTTATGCCTATAAAAAAAATGTTCCTTTACAAATGTATACCAAAAAAGTCTAACATTTTTAATGTTTTGATGAGCGGGTATAAAAAAAAACGATGTTGGACCTCTAAGTGGGATGTTGGACCGCTCGAAGAAATGTTGGACCGCTTACGTCACAGAATGGGTGAAGCTTAATTTCATTTTCATTCGTTGGTGTTGAGCATTGACAGACCTGATGTTACATCACAGAATACAGTACAAAATAAATCGTATGTAAAAAAATGAAATGAAATGAAAGGTATAACAAAACATTTATTGACATAGTTCTCGGGCAAAATGCGTTTTGTTGGATCCTCGAACCAAACTGTCTTCCTTCGGCCTAACGGCCTCAGGCAGACAGTTTGGTTCTTGGGTACGACAAAACGCATGTTGCCCGCAAACTTAGTCAATAAATGTATAATAATGCAAGGGCATAACGAAGTTAAAAAGCTTAGTTTAATCTATAATTATTCTTTTCAACACTATTTGTAGTTTGTGAAAAGTGCCGCTAACCTATGTATATTCCTTTTTTAATTGCAAAATTTTTTTGCTGGGCGACAGGTTGAATATGTTGCTGGTCAACTGCAATAAATATAGTATAATTAATTTATTTGCAAGATTTCATGAGACTCGCCTACTTTTTCAATGAATCAGCATACAAACACACGACAGTATCACTTGTCTGGAGAATGCACGGACAGTTGATCAATAAAATATTAAAATAGACATCGTATCCAAGTTATCGGCGTTTTACTTAACAGCAAATAATATTTTATTTGAGAACAAAAGACATTTTTATTGTTCAAAATGTGACTTGATCTGACTCTCACTGTGTACAAACTGCGTCATTTTTGCAAGATGATGTCACATTGAAAATTGCATTAATATTGTGATCGATGCATCGTTTATATACTATTGTGTGGGATTTAACAAACGACAAAACTGAATGTAAAAGTAAGTTTGTATGTAGTATACAGCTATCCAGCCGTTTGAAATTGCAAATAATTTCATTTTGTGGTATTTTGAAGTCCCTTTACTATGTGTGACGTCATATTTCCCGTACAAATTAGGTCCCGTTTCTTCACTGTAACATTAACTGTACTGTGTAAATTTTGACACATTATTAAGATTTTGATTCTGATTTCACTGGTTTAAATTTAAGTTTAATGTTTTACTTAGTACTTAAGAAATAAAAGCAAGTATAATCGATCAAGGCCAACCAGACGTTTAAAATGTTCTCTTTTATATCGAAAAGTTAAACATTATTCTCGGAAGTTCGGGGCATTAATAAAAAATAAAACCAGCTAAAATATTTTTCTTTTAATCTTGAGTACAAATATTGACAACAAAAATGATAGATACTTCTATAATTTAATTTAAATGCATAATTAACTTATTTATATTTACCAAACAAAAAAAAAGACAAATGAAATAACTAAATGTGATAATCAGAAAGCTTTAAATCAACATTTTATTTATATTGTCATGGTGCTACAAAACAATAAAATGCATTGTTACAACGCGAAATGTACTAACAACGCGAAATATATTAAACCTGAATTATTACATTTTGCGTTATTACATTTTGCGTTGATCTCGACGCAAAATGTAATAACGCAAAATTTAATAATACAATGTTTAGATTTTTACATTTTGCGTTATTACATTTTGCGTCGAGATCAAGGCAAAATGTAATCAAGTGCTTTTTCGTTGTTACATTTTGCGTTATTTTATTTTTGCACTGAAGACAACGTAAAATGTAATAAAACAATACGTAATGAAACAAAATATAATTGATATTTTTGATTACGTTGAACAAAAAATATCATAGAATTGATTCAAATATATATATTTAATCAACATGGGAAACGCGCTGTAAAAATATTTTGAACTAAGACAATGAGATAAACGTTACGGCTTTTTCCGGACATAAATACATCAAAATGTATCGTTTTTCTGACTCTGATTTTAGTTATATTGAATATACTGTACTTAATCAAAAAGAATGAATTGACTTTGATTGGCATATTTTGATAGTCTTATCAAATTTCTAACCAATAAAACATATTTAATTAACAAAGAGTGACCATAGGTTCATTAAAAGCTCTTGATATGCATTTTTGGCACGTATACATTGGTTAACAAATGAATAGAAGTGTGTGTGTGTGTCAAGCGATGATCGGAGGGGCAGGGACAGGGCGTGGTGTTTACTTTGTATGTTTACTATTGTTTACTGTGGACATGCAGAAACAAACCGTTTTATTATAGGATGGAAAGGAAGAGAGAGAGAGAGAGAGAGAGAGAGAGAGAGAGAGGATTTTGATTTTGCTTGTCTGCAATGCTTGAGATTTGCATGGAACAGTTTGGTATCATTATTGTCAATAAACCACTCCCCGCTATACATTTACACCTGCTAGTACAAATAAATATTTCTTTTTAAATTCATTGCAATTGTCTATAAAAAAGCAAAAACACACAGGTCAATACCCCAAACAACCTTGCCCACAGATGCACGCTTCTAATTTACAACACATTTTATATGAATGCATTTATTAAGCTGATTTAGAATACATGTAACTAATTAAATCAATATATTAAAAAATGTTAACTGTAAGAAATTGATCTATTTTTTCTATTGTTTTATTTTCTTTTTATCGGCGGCTACACTATTGAAAATTGTACTCAATTTACACATGTATTACATTTTGCGTTTCTGCCTTTTGCTTAATCTTGACGCAAAATGTAACAACGCAAAATGTTATAATCCAAAAATCGTGTTATTACATTTTGCGTTGATCTCGACGCAAAATGTAATAACGCGAAATGTAATAATTCTCCAAAATGTGTTGTTACATTTTTCGTTATTAAATTCTGCGTTGATTTCAACGCAAAATGTAATAACGCAAAATGTAATAATCCAGGTTTATTACATTTCGCGTTGTTATTACATTTCGCGTTGTAACAATGCATCACATTTTTAATTCTAATTATTCATTACATGAAATTTAATTTCTTACTTTTTTTAGGATTAATTTGTTATTATAAAAATTTCCATAGTGTAAATTATTGAACCACACACTAAATTGTATCAAGAAGTACCCTTTATACACGAAGAACGTATCCCTTTTCTGTAAATACATTTTTTTACTGTTTACTGCAGAAGCACGTACTGAACAGAACATCGATTTATTTTTACTTCATCCATAGAAATTTAAAAAAAAATATTAGAATTATTATTTCCTTTCTTTTAATTATTGGTTGATAGATTGGCATAATTTGGTTATGAAAGAATAAGAGAGAGAGAGAGAGAGAGAGAGAGAGAGAGAGAGAGAGAGAGAGAGAGAGAGAGAGAGAGATGATGATGATGATGATGATGATGATGGTGATGATGATGATTTCTTTTCCGGACTCTACAGATAAGTCTCAATACATTTTGTCGAGTGTAGGAAACGTGGTGTGTGTCAGTGATACCTTCGTAACACAGTCAAGGT